GGTGTGTAGACGCTGTTGGTGCCTCTCAGCTGGGAGTGGACACAGCACAACCTGCCCTGACACAGCCCTCTGTGGTGACTTTAAGTCTCCTGGGTCACAAGCCCCACAGTGAAAGACGCTGGCCTACACCTGGCCCCAGAGCTCTCTGGGCAGAAACTCGACCCGTTCCTCAAAATATTCCAGTCTGCACATACCGCACTCCAACCCTTGCCCCAGCTGCCGCTCAAGCCTGGTCCACTGAACAAGGTGGGGAAGCAGGAAAGAGGAAGAGGAAGGGAGGCCACAGGAAGAAGGAGCGCGTGCTCCGGCCCCAGGAACCCCAAGGCCAAGTGTGGCCTCCTGGGGGCAGAGACTCCTGCAGGGTGCCGGAGCATCCTCTGAGGAAGGAGCCAGGGCTGCTCCGGCCACAAAAGCAGGCGTGGGCCCCTCGCTCTCCAGACGCAGCTTAGAAAGCAAACATTTCAGGCACAGCCAACCAGCAGGCATCTGGGGCCTTTTATAAACTAAGAAACTGCAAAATCATCCAAGGGCTTGTTTGGGATTTGTCTGACTTCTGTTAGTCCCACAAACCCCATTCTGATTTTAAGTGAGTGGGCTTACTCTATAATCCACTGGACCAGGGTTCACTCAGTGTAAACATCGTGACTTCGCCCTTCCTGGAACCCGCTCCAACGCTGGCAGCGGGCAGTTCCAGGGTCTTCCTGTCGATACCTCTTAACACTGCCAAGTTCCCACGCCCGGGTTACCACTGAGGAAGTCCAAGTGCTAACAGGGCAAACCACCATCCTCAGCATACTGGCTGGATCACCACCTGCTGGGTGTCTCTCAATATACTCCAAAAGCTGCCACCACTGGGGCCTTCCTGAGCAAGCCACCTGTACCCCTCAACCATTCCCATCCGCACACTTGCCGGATCAATTCATCTCACCACTTGGATACCCTTTAGACCTCCAACCCCGAAGGCAGAGGGTCCAGTAAAGGCCACTGACAGTCGGAGAAGGGTGGCAGAAAGGGGATGGGATGCCCACAGTGATGACTTCCGGACCAGAGGCCAGTGTCAGCCAGGACTGTCCCAACCCCACAGGCAGCCCCCCTCCCTGGCACTCTGTGGTTCTCACTTAAAATAATAACCACCATGATCAGTCACTGACCCCATATGATGTTCCAGGTGCTCTTTGTACATCTCAGTTTTTATTGTTTTTATTAACAATCCTGTGAATGGGTATAATTATCCCTTCGTTTTATAGATGAGGACAGTGAAGCTCAGTTGCAGTCTTTGGCCCAAGTTACACAGCGGCAAGTGGTCAATGTGACCACACAGCCCCAGTGCTCTGCGCTGGCCTCAGCGCCTCTCAGGGGACCTTCTGACCTTTCCATCTCACTGGCCTCCCCTGCCCTCTGGCCAGGCCAGCCATCCCCACCCCATCCAGGGCGGACTCCTCCGCCACTGCCAAGGGCTCCCCTGCAACCAGGAATCCCGCAGTCTCCCACCTGAGCCCGCAGGTGCTGCCCTGTGCCTCGCAGCCCTGCTCTTTTCTCAAGTGCAGAGACTGTGATAACCGAGGGAGAAAGAACTTGCACAGGGCCCCACAGCGGCTCAGGCAGCACCCACGAGAGCCCAGAGAGCCCAGCCTCCCCACCCGTGAGTCCAGGCCTGGCTCCCTAACGCCACACGGTCCCACATATAAACAGGGATAGAAGCCTAAAACACACACCCACACACAAAAACGTGTGATAAAACAAAAGTCAGCACACGTGAAGGACTATCAGAAAACTGAACCAAAAGTCAAACTCTTAGATCTCTCAACATTTCTGGGGGAAGGGGGGAGTGCTCCTGTGGGGATGTACCTATTTCTCAATTACCACACATTCTTCAACTGCTTACTTACAATCATCAAACCCAAATTATGGACCAAAGCATACATACTTAAACTCACAACACCACCACTATTCCACTATACAAACCCTCCCCATTAAAAAATTATTACAAGCTCATCTTTCCCAAAACACTTCTATTAACACTACCATACAAGAAACTACCGAGTTCAAAACACTCTCCAAATTAACTGCCAGTTGTTTTAGTTCAAATTTCCTGCTTGCTGGTCAAAAACAAGGTTGACATCTGCTTTCTCCAGCCACTACTCACCGCACAAACTACCAGTTACCTATTCTAGCTCCGTGGCACTTAAAGTTACTTCCAAAACATGACTTTTTCAGCCTGTATTTTCCCGGCCTTCTCCATAATAAAATTAATTTGCAGGAGCAGCTCATGGAACCGACTAGGCCCAGCACCCATGGGCTGCTGCAGGAGAGGTGCAGAGGCCCTGCAGAGACGTTTTGTAATGTGAGAACCGGATTCCAACCTGGGCTCGGCCAGCCCTGCCGCCCAGCAGCTGTGTGACCTTGGGCAGGTGGGTCGACCTCCCTGAGCCTCGGTTTCCTCTACTGCGACGCTGGAATCCCAACTCTCCCCGCCCCCGCCCGGCCCGGAGGAAAGATTTTCGTCCAAGTCCTCCACGCACAGCTAGAACCCACCCGCGTCTCCCGGCTGGAGCTCGTCCCCGCTGTCCTGGGGGCTCCGAGGCCGGACGCCGGGACCCCGGACCCCCGACGCAGCGCAAGGCCCGCCCGGCCAGGCCCACACCGAGCCTGCGGGCGCGCAACGATGGCCGGCGCAGGGATGCTCGAGTGGCCCGCCCGGCCCCGGCCCGCTCCTCCGCCTGCCTCCCCAACCCCTCCCGCGAAGGGCGGCGGGGCCCGAGCTCGGCAGTCGGTCCGCGGCCCCGGCAAGCCCCCTCGCCACGCGCCCAGCGCCCGCCCCCCACCCGCGCTGGAGGCCGCGGCCGCGCTCGGCGGCGACCAGGCCCGCGCGCCGGGCTCGTGCGGCGCCGGCCACTCACCGTGCGCGCCGCGCGTGCCGCTTTGTATGCAAACACCCGCGGCCGCCGCGCCGCGCGGGCCTCGGGGGCGGCCGGGGCGGGGCCCCGGGGGCGGGCGGGGCCTCCGGGTGGGCGGGACCGGGGCGGGGCGAGCGGGGCCGCGCGAGGGAGCCTCGCGGGGTGCGGGCGACCCGGCCGCTTTCAGGGCCGGCCGGCCGGATCCGCCGGCTCATGCCTAAGCGCCTACCTTGCCTTTCCCGTGGGTGGGGACCCTCGGGCCGTGCTGCTCATTTTGTTTCCCCGAGCCAAAGCCATATATGTCCCTCAACAAAACAGACCCACATAGACCCATGCCTCGGAGCGGCGTGGGCCGCAGGACGGCGGGGAGAGCGCGCCCTTCTCCGGCCGCGCAGCCCGAGCCCGCCCTTGACTTTCTGACCCTGGTGCTTCGTTTCCTCAACCCTAGGTGGCCGCCGTGCTGACCGCAGCTTCTCAGGGCTGGGCCGCCACTGTCCCTTACTCGGACATCGGGGCGCGCACTCCTGCTTGCTCCAGGCGCGTTCCAGACGCGGGAAGGGGGCTCTGGGCAGGAGGGACAGCCCCCTGCCCCTCGGAGCCCAGCGGGGAGGCAAGGGACAAATAAATACATCTGATGGTGCAATGATTTGGATCAGAGGATGTCACGTGTGAACTGAAACACCCTAAAAGACAAGAAGCACCCGAGTCAGACAAAGATGGGGGGTAGAGCTTTGCGGAGAGCAGAAACAGCGAGTGCGCAGGTCCTGAGGCAGGCCCTGCGGTAGCTGGAGGGCTGGCCCAGGCCAGATATGTAGGGTCTTGTGGGCCAAGGCAAGGAGTTTAGAGATCATTCCAAGACTATGCCAACCTGGGAATGTTATGATCTAATTTACGTTTTTAAAAAATCACTTCTTTGCTATATGGAAGATGGACTGCAGGAGAAGAAACAAGCCAACAGGCTGGGCGGGACCCCAGGAAACTCAGGGAGATGATAAAGGGGGTGCTCAGCGAGAAACAGAAAGACTTTGGGTAGATTTGGGAGGTATATGATCACCACAGCCCTCCAGCCTGGGCAACAGACAGCAATATTACCCCATCTCTAAAATAAAAGATTTTGGAGGCGAAACCAAAAGTCTTGCTGACAAGTGGAGCGAGAGAGGGCGCGCGATGAGAGAAGGAATCAAGGGTGAGTGTCCATTTGGAGCGTGAACCGCTGAGGACCATGATGCTCCTTACAGAGATGCAGAGAGTGAGAGAGTTAGTTGCAGGTTTGGTTTGTTCCGGGCTGAGCTTGCAAAGCTTTGCAGCCCCCAAGAGGGGGAGTCAGGAAGGCAGGCTCAGTGGACTGGAGGCTGAGCTCCGGGGACTCTAGACAAGATGTTTAGGGACAGCTGCTTGGAGAGTTTTGCCCAGGTGATGCGGCTCTGTCCACCAGCCGTGTGTGGACGCACTCTAGCTGGGCTTGGAGCTACTCCCATCAAGGCAGCCTATCCCCAGGAGAGCTGGCCCCCACTCCCATGCTGACATTGCCCAGGTCGGGGCTATACAAGGGGTGCCTTGCCATTTACATGTGAGTTACTTCCACAGGGTTTGTTCAGAGACCGGAGTTGCCATCCCTGCTGCTTGCAAATGACTGAGGTTGCAGGACCCAAAAGGAAGTCTTCCCCCTCCCCCGCCCACCTCCAGGGAGGGGGGACCTCAGCAGCAAATCTGCCCCCAGTGGACAGGCTTCCCAGGAAGCCAAGTCCTATTTCAAGCTCTTTGAGTTTAGTCTTTATTTAAAATAACTCAAATTCTTCACATTTGGAGATGAGGGCTACAAATATTTTTTAAAAAGTCCAGCTCGAAGCCCTCATGCTAAACATGGTGAACCTGCAGACAGAGCAGGGCTGGGCTGGGCTCTGCTGAGCAGGGGCCGGCTGGATTCAGAGCCAGTTAGGTCCTGCGGGTGTCCCTCGCTGCCTGCCACCTTTGAGGGGGAGGCGGGCAGATACACAGAGAGAATTTTTTCCCCCAAACATTCAATAAGAAGAAAACACTCACTAGATCACATTTGACTCCCAGGAGGTAAAATGAACGGGATTCTTCAAAGCCCTGGCGCTTTTGATCTGGCGCTGTCTGGAGTCCCCCTGGGAGGGCTCTCGGCTGTGTTGTCAGCAACCAGGCTGTGACTGAGCTCTGAGCTGGTGACTGAGCAGTGACTCAGCCAGGAGAGCTGAGGTGATCCCCCTAGCCAATCCCAGGATCTGCTGTGTTCAGCCCAGCTGGGAAGAGAAGGAGCCCCAGGGATGAGTAAGCTTGCTCAGTGGGCTGGAGGAGGAAGCAGAGGCTGCGTGATGCCCGGGCAAAGCAACGTTATCAGCCTCCATCTGGAGGCTGTTTCGCAGCCTGGGGAACAGGGTGCAGACGCTGCCGCTTCGAGGATGAAAAGGGTCATCCTGTGAAACACTCGGCACCGTTGCCAAGTTGGAAGATTTTTCGATTCTAAACTCCTGGACATTGAGGAGTGGCCATTCCCAGAGGGATCCGCTCACTGTTCAGCCCAGCCGTGGTTCAGAGGGAGCGCCCAGACAGCTCCTGCACCCCAGCTGTCCACCCGCCAGTGACATCCGCCTCTGGCTTGCTGAGAACCAGTCTCTGTAGGCTGAACAGTGAAAACTCCACCATGGCTCTACAACTCCAGAAACTTTTCTCTGCATATGAAAGCGATGAGAATGAAGTCAACCACCCTCTTCCAACTGAAACCTCCCTCCTTTCAGCTGGCGACAGATAACTGTAGGACCCTGGGGATTCTGAGGTTTCCCAGATCAATCACCTGCACAATTACTGGGCTCTGCCTCTGGCCCCAATGCCTGAGGCAAGGTGGGCAGGAGGAGTGAATGGCCCTCTTCCCGGGAGCCCTGTAAACCACTGTAGGTAGGAGAACAATTGACTGATCCCCCCACACCTAAGTGCCTTGGCAGAAAGGATCCCAAAGAAAGGACAATGAATTCTTAGCCTCTGGGAAAAGAAGAGACCTGATGAGGTGACTTTGTCATGGGCCCTCCTTTACTGGGCACCTTGAAAACCAGGTGGGCACCAGGGCCCATCTGGGGCCACTTTGCCACCTTGGGGGCAGGGAACAGAGTAGCCTGCAAACCCACCTGACAGTGAATGGGGCCCCTGAGCGCATTGACTGGGCGAGTTTCCGCAGGTAGAAGCCCTGGGCTCCATGGGGACAAGAGGAGGAGGAGGGTGGTCCAGGGAGAGCAGACATCTGGAACCAAAGCACAGAGGCTTGGGACAGTCATCCCGAGGGCTGTCCAAAGGCCCAGCCCACAATTCAGGAGGGCCTTACAGATGAGAGCCGAGGTGTCCGGGAGGGAGATGGATAAGCGGAAGAGGCTGACAGGTGGCCACAAGTGGGGATCGTGGAGGTCACACCACTCCAGTCTCTCCCTGCAGATGCATCAATTCTACAGTGTTGTGGGTTTATATTTATTAATTGAATGCTGCTGTGGAATAAGGAATTTCAAACCGTTTGCAGACATAACCTATTTGATCCTCATTACTTCGTTAGGTAAAAGTACTATTGTCATTTCTACTTACTAGTGAGAAAACACATGTCACGCAGGACAGCCAGGAATAAGTCCTGGGTCTGTCCGTTCCTAACTTCAAGAATATTGTCGTCAAGACTAGACAGCTCTCTGTTAGGAGGCCAGAGGGTCATTAGATAGAAAGCAGCAGTCCATAAACTTGAACATGGAAAATTTGCATTTTACCAACATCTAACTAAAATTCTGTAGAATGTCTTTCAATTATGAATGTAGGCAATGGCAATAGTATTAACAGTACCTGTGATTACCAACAAAAAGAACAGAAATTACAGATCTTTTCATGCCATATCAAAGTTGTTGCAGACATTGCAAAATATCACATACACTCATCACTATTTAAAAACAGCGGCTGCTATTAAACTTGCTGATAAGGGACAGAGCAACTGAGGAAGTCAGACATCTGAGAATGAAGGACAGGTGGCTGCCTACCACTGAGCCTTAATCAGAACAACAGAGCATCTCTGCACATCATCACCACACAGTGACAAGCCAACCAGAACAAGAACAAGAACATCAGAACAGACAAAGGAAAGACACGAGCAGAAAGACACTCTCTAAGGCGGAAGGCAGAGGGCAGGTCTGCTGCTGAGAGTCAAGCAGATATTTCTCCAACAGACAAACCCCTGTCCTAAAGCGCAAGGTATTTCCACAAGAATCTGAAGGCTAAGGTGCACTGAGGGCAGCCATAGCAACAATGAACCTCAAACCCAGCCCAGCTGCTACCTAGATTAACTCAACCACCCATCTCTGCCGCAAGACCCACCAGAAGAAAAAGCAGGTCTATTTCCAGAGGGGGAAAAATGGTCTAAATTTCTACAGTTCTACACAAGATGTCCAGCTTTAAAGAAAAAAATTATGAAGCAAATGAAAAGGCAGGAAGGGCACACTTCCAAGAAACAGTAATAGTAAGAACTAAACTCAGGTATGATACAGATTTGGACCTATCTGACATGGCTTTTTTTTTAAACTATGATTAATAGGTTGAAGTCTCTAATGCACAGGGTATACAATGTAGCAGATCAGATGAGGTATACAATATGCAAGATGAGATGAATATTTTCATCGGAGACATGGGAAGTATAAGAATCAAATTAAAATGTTAGAAATAAAAAACATTCTAACAAAGATGAACAATATCTTCAATGGGCCCATTCGTAGACGCGGCACAGTGATAAAAGGATCACTGAAGGCGAAGATAGGTAGTATTAGAAATTACCCCAACTGAAACACAAAGAGGGAAAAAAAAGTGAGAACAGAAACAAAAGTAGCACGGTATCTAAGCTACCCTGTGGTCAATAGCAAATGGTCAATATCAAAATAAGTGAAATGGAATCCCAGAAGGAGAGGAGAAAGAGAGAACACAGAGCAGAAGAAATATTTTAAAAATAATAGCCTAGATTTTCCAAAATTAATGCCAGACACCAAACTATAGATCCGAGAAGCTCAGAGAGCAGCAAGCAATTGAGTAGGGTAACACACATACACACGTGTGCACTTGCACATGCACACACACACACACACACAGTGGCATATCATATTTGAATTACTGAAAATAAAAGTAAAGAGAAAATTTTGAAGGCATCCAGAGAAAAGACAAATTGCATAGAGTAACACGGTAAGAATTACAGTGGACTTCTCACAAGAGAGCTAGAAAGTACATACTGTAGATTTTGCAGGTCGCGTGGTCTCTGATGCAACCACTCAACTCTGCCATTATAGCACAAAAGCAGCCACACACAATATCTAAACAAAGGGAAATGAATTCATTCCAATAAAACTTTATCGACAAAATAGGTGGCAGACCAGATATGGCCCAGGTGTCATAGTTTATCAACCCCCAATCTAAAGCAAAAATGTAGCAGTGCTTTGTACATTAACAGCATATGCAGAAGTAAAAGCACAAAGGATGGAAGGGAAGACTTGGGAATATAGTGTTGAAAGTCCTTACTGTTACATAAAGTGCTATAACATTATTTTAAGGTAAATTATAATTAAACATGTAAATATAATTATTTGGGCAATCACTAAAAGTGCTTAAGAAATATAAATAAGTCAATACAAAGATAAGACACCTTTGGATTAATCATGAAAACAACTACTCTCTGAACAGCTGTGGGGGCATTCTTAATTTAAACTGCATTGATGATTATAAATATGTATTATTGACATAATTATGCTCTGCTCCCTCCATTCCAGGTGATTCGTGAAAATGGTTCGCTGTTCACTTGACCCAGAAAACCCTACAAAATCATGCAAGTCAAGAGGTTCAAATCTTCGTGTTCACTTCAAGAACACTCGTGACACTGCCCAGGCCATCAAGGGTATGCATATACGAAAAGCCACCAAGTATCTGAAAGATGTCACTTTAAAGAAACAATGTGTACCATTCCGATGTTACAATGGTGGAGTTGGTAGGTGTGCCCAGGCCAAACAGTGGGGCTGGACACAGGGTCGGTGGCCCAAGAAGACTGCTGAATTTTTGCTGCACATGCTTAAAAATGCGGAGAGTAATGCTGAACTTAAGGGTATGGATATAGATTCTCTGGTCATTGAGCATATCCAGGTGAACAAAGCACCCAAGATGCGTCGCCGAACTTACAGAGCTCATGGTCGGATTAATCCATACCATGAGCTCCCCCCCTGCCACATCGAGAATGATCCTCACTGAAAGGAACAAATTGTTCCAAAACCAGAAGAGGAGGTTGCACAGAAGAAAAAGATATCCCAGAAGAAACTCAAGAAACAAAAATTTATGGCACGGGAATAGATGTAACATAAAATAAATGAAAATAACAGTAAAAAAATAAATACAAAGATAAAATGGAATTATAAAAAAAAGTTCATGAACAGAAACTTCTCAAAAGAAGACAGAATAATGGCCAACAAACATATGAAAAAATGTTCAACATCTCAATCAATCAGGGAAATGCAAATCAAAACCACATGAGATTATCACTTAACTCCAGTGAGAATGGCCTTTATCAAAAGTCCAAACAACAAATGCTGGCATGGATGCGGAGAGAGGGGGACATTCCTACACTGCTGGTGGGACTGCAAACTAGTTCAACCTCTGTGGAAAGCAATATGGAGATACCTTAAAGTGATACCAGTAGATCTACCATTTGATCCAGCAACTCCATACTGGCATCTACCCACAAGATCAAAAGTCACTTATGAAAAAGACACCTTCACTTGAATGTTTATAGCATATAGCAACACAATTCACAATTACAAAGCTGTGGGAACAACCCAAGTGCCCATCAATTCATGAGTGGATTAAATAAAATGTGGTATATGTATACCATGGAATACTACTCAGCTTCAAGAAACAACGGTGATATAGCACCTCTTGTATATTCCTGGATACAGCTGGAACCCATTCTACTAAGTGAAGTATCTCAAGAATGGAAAAACAAGCACCACATGTACTCACCAGCAAATTGGTATTAACGGATCAACACCTAAGTGGACATATAGGAGTAATATTTATCAGGTGTCAGGAGGGTGGGAGGGGAGAGGAGGGCATGGGTACATACAACCACAAGGAGTAAGATGTGCAACAAACGTTGGGGGATGGACACGCTTGAAGCTCTTACTCCCAGGGGGAGGGGACATGGGCAATATATGTAACCTTAACACTTGTACCCCCATAATACACTAAAATAAAAAAAATTTAAAAAAAAGTTCAGTTAGCCCAAGTGAAGGCAAAAAAATGAAAAACACAGGACAGATGGCACAAACAGAAAACAGCTAGTAAGATGGTGGATTTAAATCCACCTATATCAAAAATCACATCAAATACATCAGTTAAAAGAGAGAGATTGTCAGACTGGATAACAAAAGAAGACCCAGCTATAGGAATATCTCCAGGAAACCTGTGACCTGTGAAGGATTAAATATAAAGGCACAGAATTGTGGTGTGGATACACGATTCTACGCATTGGTCCAGACTCATAGAACTGTACACCACAAAGACTATTACTGTATGTAAATTTTTAAAAATCAGTCAGGATGTGGGAGTAAAGACAGAATGCAGACTGACACATGAATCTGTGTTACAAAAGAATCGCATAACTACTGCGACCTAAGTAACTTTGGCCAAAAGTGTTCTAGCTGAATACCATAAAGCCAAAGACTGAAAGAACCATACACAAACCTGCAAAATGCACGGATATGGAAAGTCAGTGCTCTGTACCCCATGGCTTCTGCACCTGGTGAAAATATCAATGTGCGGTTGGCTAATCTCAGATGTGGAACCCATGGATACAGAGGGCCGACTGTACTTGAGTTGGGTACTAGAGTTGAAAAAAATAAGTAATAAATTATAGATAATAGGAGTGATGTTTCTTGCTGTGGAGAAGAAGTTCAAAATAAGGAAAAGGGGAAGGCAGATTATACCTTGTGGTCTGAATTGTGTCACATATGGACTCATTTTTTAAAATATAGATAGATGAGCCCGGGCGCAGTGGCTCACGCCCGTAATCCTAACTCTCTGGGAGGCCGAGGCGGGTGGATTGCTCGAGGTCAGGCAGTTCAAAACCAGCCTGAGCAAGAGCGAGACCCCGTCTCTACTATAAAAGAAAGAAATTAATTGGCCAACTGATAATAAAATATATAATACTAAAATAAGCCGGGCATGGTGGCATATGCCGTGTCCCAGCTACTGGGAGGTGAGGCCAGGAGGATACTTGAGCCCAGGAGTTTGAGTTGCTGTGAGCTAGGCTGACGCCACGGCACTCACTCTAGCCTGGACAACAAAGAGACTCTGTCTCAAATATAGATAGATAGATAGATAGATAGATGAGATAGACAGATAAATACATGGATAAATGGATGATGGATAAAGTAGAGGTGTGTGTATGCAGGGTTATTATACATACATATATTCTCTCTCTCTCTCTCTCTCTCTCAGCAGTGACACCCAGTAGCAATGAGCACATGAGCACCCAGCTCTTGGTTTATAAATACTATTTTCCAATGAAAAGAATTAGGGTTCGTTGGAGAACTGATTGATTCCAGGGTCAGAACAGAGAAAATGCTACGTGACCCTGGAGGACCTTATGGTACCAGAAAGTGTCAAAAAATTAAAAATATGAGCAAAGATTCTGAAAGAGCACAGGAGCCAACATGAAGTCCCCATCAATGACCAAAGTTGAAACTTGTCCGACAAAATAAATAACAATACTATTGGATTATAACCCCAATGATTTTTAAAACCCACAAATCCATACTGATATAAATAATAACTGCATAAAGAAAAGAATGGTGAAGACACAACTCTTCTTTAAAGAAGAATTCCACTTAACACATTTAGAAAGAATGAGAGAAGAAGAAAACCACCATTAGAATCTAGCTGCCATAATATTAATAATTGCTATAGGCAGGATCCGCTGATGAAAGCTAAGGTTCTCTGGCAAAGGTAAAAGGAGAAACAGGATATTTACATGGTCTCAAATACTTCCTTCAAAATATTTAGCAATTACAAAGGGAAATTACTTTACAGTGGAGAATCTGGCAGACACCACCTTAACCCAGCAACCAGGGTCAATATCTCCAATAAGGCATGTTCACACCCTGCCCCCATAGGACGCCCTGGAAAGGTGACATCACACCTCCATAGCTTTCCTCCCAATAGTACCAACAGCTGCAGCCTGACTGTGACAAAACATCAGCCAAACCTAAACCGAGGGGCCTTCTAACGAGGTAACTGACGAGTGCTCTTCAACAGTGACAAGGTCATGGAAGACAAGGAGGAGGAGGAGGAGGAGGAGGATGGTCCCGGCCTTGGGGAGACAGAGGAGGCAAGAGTGGCAATCAGAGCTGAGATCCAGGTTCCCATGCTGCGCGAGCGAAAGCCTCGCCCACCACGTGGGGACAAACCACTGGTACCCACCGTCCTCCACCCCACTTCCTCGCGCTTAGTCCTAAAGACGCGAGAGAGAGAGACCGCCCGACGAAGAGACGAGAAAGAGAGAGAGAGCAAGAACACACTACTACCACTCGGTGCCCCCACAAGACTTGCGTTTGAACTCGTCAACACTGTTTTCGGCCTAGAGCGCACTCGAAGGCCAAGGGCCTTTGGGCCAGGCCAGCCGGGGCAGTGCTGAGACGCCGTGCTGGGGTGGGCCAAGGGAGATAAATACGTGGCCATACTGCGTACTGCAGTTCTCCTCGGCTCGTGTCCGCTCAGCGCGCCGGTCGTCTTGCCCAGACCCGGAGAGCGCGTGGCCGCCAGTGAGATGAGCGCGAGGATGAATCCGGAAGCTTGTCCGTGGGCGCGGTCCCTAGCCAGGGCCCTGGGTAGGTACCAGGACCACGGCAGCCTGGCTGTTTTGAAAGGCTCCCCTGACCCTGCCTTTCCCAACTCAGAAACACAACAGCTACCACACCACGAAACCCCGCGCCCCTGCCCTTTAAGCTCCCACACCTGCCAAGTAGCACTTCCCCGCACACAGCTTCTTCTGCTGCGCCTGTACTGCTGCGCTGTTCCGCCTGCACAGCCCGTCAGCCCGGGAGACGGCGACATGTGGGGCAGGGACTCGGAGACGGGTCAGGAACGGCGGCGGGAGGAGCCACCCGGGGCAAACGCTCACCCAACACGAAACAACAACCCCCACAACCCACCCCTACCTACCACACAGGTAGACGGGGTCCTCCCTGGGGTCCTGGTAAATGGGCCGAATATGAAGCACTCCCGTGGATCCGTCACTGCCTCATTGCCCTCCTCTAACGGGAACTAGATCGGCGAGGCTCGTCCCTGTCATAGGCACCAACCTCTGAGAGCCCTCCCCTCGAAAAATACCGCTCACACCCAACAATAACGGACATGGATACTCCACACTCTCACACGAGTCAATTCATCCTCTTAGCCCAGATACTCCCCAACAAGCCACCACCACTCGCCCAATCAATCCCGCATATTAGCAAACGAGCTCACATTAGCTGTAACGACCACGTAAGCATATGTCTAATCAAATCCGATGCTAGGCCATAGCATGTATCATGCATCTTAAAATCAACTTACCTTGAGCCCAACACAGCACGTCCAGCTGGACGGATATATGAGAAGTGACAGAACTTGTCTGAAAGCTCAGAGCAAGCCGGCGAACAGAGAGGACAGAAGGGAAACTCCGAGCCTTGCTACAGGGCCCTCGTTCCCCCAAGTCCCAGTGCCCGAGAAGCTGCCCCGGGAGACGCTGACACACCCCTCGGGGAAGCTGCCCCTTACCTTCGCTGCCCGGAAAAAGTCTCGCCTCCCCCATTTACAGGACGCACTGTGAGGACCCCATTCAGCTTCCATTAACTTCCTAGGGAGGTCTCTGCTCTCGGGATCGTTGGCCTCCAGGTCGGGTTCCCTCTTTCTCTTAATGGTTTAGGTCTCAGCAGGCTGGGCCACCGCTTGGTGGCTGCTGGTGGCCAGGACCGGCATGGCTGGCTGCCCCGGTCTGCCCTGCATTCTCTCCTTCCTCCTGCTCCTACCCCTAGGGCCCCCCATCCCCTCCCATCTTGTCCCCCTGTCCCCCCTGCTGTGCTCTCTGCTTGCTTTCCTCCGCGCCTCCTGTGTGTGGGCACCAGGAAACGCGCATTGTTGGGTGGCAGCATTATGACATCACCCGGGCTATGAGCATCGGTGGTGCTCGGAGGAGAGAAAGATCCGACGAGGTCAACGGGGACCAAGCAAGGCTGCGCAGGGAGCTGCTTTGGGACCTTCCCCGGGTTCGGGACAGAGCCTGGGCCACACCAGGGGCCGACAGAAAGCTTGGGGCCCAGCGTGACCAGACCCTTTCAGCCTGGACTCTTGAATTCACAGCACGCTAACCGGAAGAGACTTTCCATCGAGAACGCTGCGCTCCAGCAAACCGAGAAAACGTGGAGGGAGGAAACCACCTTGCCCGTTTTTTACAAAGCCTCAAAATTTGGTGTTGCCTGCTGAGCCTGATGACGAGATTTCTACAATAGATGTTGTTGAGTAGAAAAAGCATCAAGGCCAAGAAATTTAAGCTATGGATGAGCTCCTTGAAATGCCTAAATCAGGTGGGAGAAATGATGGATAATTATAGGATACAATTGTTGAGTTATTGTCCATCCACCTAAAAACAGAAGGTTTTAATCGGTGCCAAAATGGGACGTGATTAAGCAGTCAGAATGGAATCCTTTAAAACAGGACGGTTCCGCACTGCACGAAAGGAGGGAGGTGGGCACTCCCCCTGACGAGGCTCTGGGCTGCACAGCACGCATACGGTGAAGGCATCGCCCCTACTTCGTGGCATCCGACCATCGTTTTTAATTTGGAGATATCTCCAAGAGCCGAAAGTGGAACTACCGTTTGATCCAGCAATCCCACCACTAGGCATCTCCCCAAAGGAAAAAAAAAAAGGCGCTCTAGAAAAAAGACATCTGCACTCAAATGTTTAATGGCAGCACCGTTCACAATGGCAAAGAGGTGGACACAACCCACGTGCCCATCAATACACGAGCGGATTAATAAAAGGCGGTGTACGTAGACCATGCAGTTCTACCTAGCCACAAAACACAACGGTGATCCAGCACCTCTTAGATGATCCTGGACAGAGCCCGAGCCCGTTCTTCGAGGTGAGGCATCACAAAGATGGAAAAACACGCACCACATGTACTCGCCATCAAATTGGTACTAACTCGTCAACAGCAATAAGGTGCTCACAAGGTAGTAATGTTCACTGGGTGCCGGTCAGGTGGGAGGGGGGTGGCAGGGGTGGGTAAACTCACAACTAGCGAGTGAGGAGTGCACTGTTGGGGGAAGGGCACGCTGTTAGCCCTGGCTTGGGCGAGGCAGAGGCATTATATGTGACCAAAATGTCTGTACCTCCATAATACTCTGAAATTAAAAAAAAAAAAACAAAAAAAAAAACTGAGGGTATTCATCACCAGCAGATCTGCCTTGTACATAATGTCAAAAGAAGTTTTTCAGGCAGAAGGGAAATAATACAGGTTAGAAACTTGAATTTCCATAAAGAAAGGAAGAGCATGGGAAATGAATAAATGAAGATAAACTAACGAAAAAAAGTGACAGTCGCACCACACAAGTGTCGAGGTCTGCTCACACATGACTCTGGGAGCCCAGACTTTTCACGGAGTGTTGTGCCCAGCTCCGTATGCAGGAAGACATTTCTATGGTCTCTCTTTGGCAATTCTCTTACGTTTCAAGTCGGCTAGCAGTAAGATTTGCTGACCAGAACTTTGTAACTTCCTGCCGCCGCGCTCATGCGTTCCCTTTTGAGTTTCTTCTCCAGCAACGGCGGAGCCTCCTGGCAGCCAGGAGGCCACTGCAAAGCCCCACACCCCACCTGTTTGTCCCGAGAAGACAGGACAGGCCATGCCCCACCACAGATGGTGCCCAGATGGGACCCACTGAGGCTGCGCACAGGCTGAAAAAATGACCACTAGGAACCCCTAGCTCATTGTGATACTAAAATCCCTGCCCGGGAGGGACTTACTCGCCATTTTTGACCATGGGATGTATGCACTAGCATGACTTCTCACTGCGCTCGCGTGCCCCGGACTCCACCCAGACACGTAATGATGCTCACTGCCTCCTGCATTTATTCATTTCACCTCCCCGATCAACCCTGACCCTGATGATCGGGGAGGCGGCTTTGAGGCAGTCCATCCCTCCCCCTCCCAGCAGACTTGCCACTGTGATAGTAACAAATCCTTTCTTTCTCCACAGTCCTCTTCTCGGTAATTGGCTTTCTGCCAGGCGAGCAACAGAGAACCCCCGCCGTGGGTTTGTTAACAGTACCGAGAGCATCCCTGTGGCCCTCTCATCCTGGCCTTTACACAGATGCTTAGGGTTAGATGGGTTTTCTTCTCCCAAGCAATTTCCGTGGGCGTGATCTCAATGCCCGGTACCAAATGTCCTGCGTCAGAGTAGAAGATGCACCTTGGAAACATCGCTTTGTGAACCAGGGGCCTGTGCACGGGAAAGTGCGGAGTCAGGGCCCGCTCTCTTGGTCTTCGGGGCACGCTGAGCCTGCTGCCCTTTCCCAGGTCTTTGGATGGTGCCTTTGAAGCTTGATGGAAAAGCAGCATTTGGAAGACAAGTGTTTACAGGGAAGAGATTTTTCTCTTTTTGTGTCTAGTTCATGGTGTCTTTGGCAGATGTGTGGTCACTGCAGCATCCTACAGAGCATGTCCTAATGTTCAAAGGCAGGGCAGTAGCTTCTAGTAACAGCGTGGGATTTGTACATTGCTTTGTTGACTTGTCATTACACAACAGCGCCTTTCAGAAGGTCATGTGCAAATCTAGCACATTCAGTTGTCCTGTATAAGAGAATGCAATTGCACCCAAAATATTTACAAATTGTTTCTTCTGAATGCTGGGCTCTTCTATAGTATCTCCAGATCATGTCAACCCTTCGTTACCAAAATTTGGGGGCTAAAAAATATTCACTTGTTTCTGAAATCTTGATTCTCATCTTCAAAAGTGTACAACAGCCTACTGAGACGGGAAGGGGTGTTACTTAAGCCGGCATGATCAGTGGGCCACGAGATTCCAGCTCATGGAACACTCTGCCAGACTCAGCGGGATGAGATCACATAGCTTTGCATTGTCCCAACCCTGGATCCCGGCTCACCTGTTTGGAAGAGAATGTCCCAGCATGAAAGGGGAAGCCAAACCTTGCTTCCTAAGTACAGTAACCGAAGCTGTTTAACCCACGGGAAAAAAAACTCAGTGTGGGGAATAGGAGATGAAGCTGGGTGGATTTGTGATCATGATTTTAAAAAGGACCTATGAGTAAGTCAGGCCTGGGCAGAGATGACCTGGGAGCTCCCAGGTAGACCTCCAACTAAAAAGGACCCAGGGGGTGGGGGTGGGGGGGCATTGAACATGAGCAAACTGAACTACATTCCTTTAATGCTCTGTCCAGCCCTAAAATTCAATGAATTAGCTCTGTCCTCCTTTCTCTGTCTTCTAAAGTGAACTACTGTATCTTCTGCAAAGCCAAGTTGAGAATTCTGGATTAAGCTTTACTCTTCCCCTCCCCAAGCAACTGGCAGTCGAATGGTGGCCTGCGCAGAGACGGGCAGGCAGGCTTCCGAGAGCGGCCGCTTAGCTCTGCGGCGCCAGGAGGCCTCAGCTGCCCCCCGCCCTGCTCCCCTCGGCGGGAGCTCACGTTAGTGTCTGTGGGTGGAAGAGACTTGTGCCCCACAAGGAGAGACGAGACAGGAGAACTCTGTCTAAAGGACGTGTTTTTTCCCTACTAGAACACTAAGGCTATAGGCCCAGTAAAATAAATAAATATAAAAATGAAAATAAAAGTCCCACGGGTCTTTCTAGAGACCGGGGTGTCCTGGATAGGGTCTGGCTCTGAGGAACTGGGGACCTGGGTTCTGATTAGTTCTCTGGAACTTACCACGAGATCCTGCACGAGTCGCCTGGGGACCTCAGTCCCCGAGTTAGAAATTGACAACGGTGGGGACCAGAGGACCATCATGACACCTTCCCACTCTGACCTTTAAGGTACGTGTCTGTGATGTGACTTCAGGGGCACAGATGGTCTTGCACCCTCACCCCCCACACACACACACACACGTAGCATGGCACCTGCGGATCTCGGTCCGTGATACCCCGGAGCTTCTCTCATGGCCTGAAGCAATATCGATATAGTTTCAGAAGAAGCAATTAATGTGAATCCACCCTAATTTTAAATTAGGTAACATTCCACCCAGTGCTTTCTCCTCTCCCTCCCTTGGGGATGTGTGAGTGAGCATCTCGACATCTCTAACCTAATTGGAGGAAGTTCTGGGCAGAGCACACACAGTCAAGACAGAGAATCAGCGAGGAGACTCTTGAATTTCCAGTGGGAGGGAGGGGTGGAGGCACGGAGGGAGGGCTGGGCAGGCAAGGCCTCATCCCCATCCTCACACTGTGCATTTTGAATTCTCTTCTCTCGCGCCTTGCTTGGTAATGGCTACAGCGCGGCCTGCTCCGTCAGTGCTCAACACAACGGCAGCAACCTCGGGAAACCTGGAGACAGGTGGAGCAGCTAGAGAGTCAGGATGACAGGATCACTCTGACGGACACACCCCACTGCTCCAGTAGCAGCATTTGACATCTGATGACAGGTCAGAAGCCACCACTGCCCTGGCCCCACCATTTCTCCTCACGGTGTAGATTAACCCACATAGGATCATTCCCATTTCTTTATGCTTGCCCTGTTCCCTTCTACCACAGGGCCTTTGTACATGCTGCAGCCGCAACCTGGAGTCCTCTTCCCTCTTTACCTGGTTAACTGCCACTCATTCTTCAACCTTACTTTAAGCATCTCCAAACTCCCCAGCCACATCAGTTCTCCCTGTTAGATATTCTCACTGTTCCTCATATCTGTTATTCAGAATATTTACATAGTAGAGTTAAAATGTTCCATTTGTGTGTGCAATTACTGTAAAATCACTTCCTAGTAGCCAGATACTGCAGGAGGGAAAAGACCACTTCTATGTAAGTATCTAGCACAGTGTCTGACACTTAGTAGACACTTAACAAATTTTTTTAATAAATGCTTAAATATCTTTTCATGGGTCATAATGTCTGGTTGCAAAAAATCTGTTCATCATAATAAACTATAATAAAAATATATTTACCATTATAAAATAAATGAGCCGGGCATGAACTGGTGTTGAAGGTGTCCCGGCCCTTACCGTGGGCCATTTTTGAGTGCTTACATTGTGCAAGGCACAGTGGGGGTGAACGATTGATTACGCCTCGTGCTCAGGGAGCTCAGGATCTAGCAGACGTGCAGTGTCCCCAGCAGGAGAAACAACACCAGCGAGTCAGAACACGGTGCCCACTGGGGCGGAAGCAGGGATTGGTAAAGGCAGGATTGGAAATGTACACCCAAAGTGGAGACGTATAAACACACATGGATGGCCGGCGCCGGTGGCTCACGCCTGCCAATCTAGCATCTGGGAGCAAGAGCGCGGGCGGATGCTCAAGTCAGCGATTCGGAAACCAGCCTCGAGCAGAGACGAGACCCTCGTCTCTACTATAATAGAAAGAAATTAAACTGGCAAGCTAATATAAATAGCAAAAAATCAGCGAGCGAGCGGTGCGCAGTGCCTGTATCCCAGCCTACTTAGAGGCTGAGCAGCAGAATTGCTGGTGAGCCCATGAGTTGAGGTTGCTGTGGAGCTAGGCTGACCCATGGCACTACTCTAGCCTGGGCAACAAAGTGAGACTCTGTCACCAAAAAAAAAAAAAAAATACACACATGAGACAGCGACCCTGGGGTAACCTAAGATTTCACTGAACAAAAAAATGACCATTCTGTATAAGATTCTAATTAAATGCATCATTGTCGTGTCTGATCGTGCTAGTGTCTGTCGCTAATCCATGCTACAATGATTCATGCTGGGAAAAAAAAAAAGGAGTTGGCTGTAAGAGCCACCGCAGTGCACTTCTAGATAAGAACACAGTGACTGTCACCGGACACCTGCATAACAGCTCCATTCACGATGCCGGGCAAGGAAGAAAACCCAGGGCAGATGCCAGACGGAGCAAAACAGACAACTATGCATTCATTTTCCCTTTACTTCAGATAGCTCATTAAAGTTCAAGGAAACATCAGAACTTAAAACTCCCAATATGGGGAATAGGCAGGTCATCTTCAGTGGAAAAGATATTTAATCAAATCTGCAAGGTGAAAGCGAAGGGGAAGTTTGACTAAAGACACAGTGTGGAGCAAGCTACACCCCGGACCTCTGCAAAGGGGGCTGCAGCCAAGGGAGGGGCCCCAGCCCAGCAGAACTTCGGGTGGCCACTGCCTCGGGAACGACACGGGTCCCCAGATATCAGCCGGCTCCTTGACTTTTACTCTGGAGTGAACTCTACCAGTTGGAGCTTCCAGCAAAACTCCTGTTCCATCCATCCATCCATGCTAAATAAAAACAGACTACCTACCACAAAGTGCTAGACATTGGAGGAAATCCTGCAACATGAGAGAGAAAAAAGATAACAAACAGGAGGAAACACGATTCCAGAAGAAATAAAAATAATCGAGAGAACAAACTCCAAAAATAAAAATAAAGACAAGGGAATAGGAAGGAATCCCCAAATAAGAATCTCAGATTTGGGAAGACATTCATAAAACAAAAGCAGAATAATGCTGTGAAAGAGCGATAACTAGAGAACAAGAGAACTTTGAAAAGTATAAATTTCCATTGAGAAAAATAACAGTAATAGAAGAGGAAGTTAATGAAATCTGCCAAATTATAGATCACAAAGCTGGTCAATAGGAGATAAAAGAGATAGAGAAAAAACTCCATGGGGCCTCAGTCACCGCCCTTTCCCTTGTTTTCCATGTTCTTTAATCCGTTGCAGTATCTTATCTGGTGATGTGGACTAGAGTGAAGTGAATTGTCCTCCAGACTGAGTTCTGAGCAGATGAATAAAAAACAACCACTGCAAGGCACAGCAAATATGAAGTCTGGGGACACAAAGGGATAACAGAAGATCCAACAAGCTTCCAGATAAGGTAAAATAAAATGAATGGTCACCTACAAAGGAGCCGAAGTCACGCTGGCATATATAAGGAACTGGGGCTGTCAGCCAGTTCTGCAACGATGTGTTCAAAATTCTGCGGAAACTGAATACCAACCTCAAGTTCCAAATTCCACTGAACTATCAAACATGAAGCCAAATTAAAGAAGAAATTCAGACACGCAAGGGATTCAATAAAATACCTCCTCTCTCCCTTCTTGGGGAGGTTGCCTGCAAATGCATTCCAGCTTTTGCTTATTTTTTAAAAAAAGGAAACTAAGAAAAAAGAAAACGATAATCCAGTAGCAATGGTTTGACTGAGGGCCTCCAGAGGGGACAGCTCTGCTGGAGGACTTGAGAGCAAGGCAGGGGGAGAGGGGACCCTGGAGACAGGTCTGGGGAGAGAGGGGCCCCTGGAGAGAGGTCTGGGGAGAGGCGGGCACCTGCACAGAGAACTGAGTCTGGAAAAGCCAGGGAACACCACGATAAAGGTATTAAACGCAAGGAATAAATGAAAAGAATTAGACAGCTATTGAAGGGGAAACTGCTTGGAGAGGTAGCATACTGTAGTGCTTAAGAACAAGGTCTCTGGATCTCTGTGGGTTTGAATTTTAACCTTTACCACTTACCAGCTGTGTGACCTTGAGCAAGTGACTCGGCCCCTCTGAGCTCAGTTTTCCATCTCTCAAACACAGATAATAATAGGACCAACTTATGAGGCGAGAAATTGAGTTAATATTTGTAATGCTCTTAGAAAAACAGAACCCATCGCAATGGCTGGTGCTCTGTAAGTTTTGTTAAATAAACAATAAATGATCCTGAAAGCTGTAGTAAAATTATAGTCATCCAAATAGACGAGCCAGGTCCTAATGAAAACAAGTTAATTGGCTTAAAAGTAAAGAATGTGATGGTTTACAAATAATAGACTAAAGTTTAAGGACATGGTGTGTTTGGTCGGGGGTAGGGGGTTGCAGGGAGTGGGAAGCATGTATTTCTCCTCTTAACAATGAAAAAAAGAAGAGTAAGTATAAATTCCAGGGAAAATACCCCCTCAACCCCTCCAAACCCCTAAAAGAAAGGCAGAGTCTGAATATACAACAGACTAAAACATAATGAAATCACGCATACATGATAGAGTCTAAGAAAGAAGATTCATGTACACACGATGCTCTGTGAGAATCAGCTAGCTCCCCTCTGAGATCAGAGTCAAGTCCACAGCACGGCGGACAAAGGAGATTCACAAATCCACAGAAGGATCAGGAGACTGTGGCTGTAATTGTGAGCCAGAATTTCCTAGCTGACTTTGTAGGAACCAGACACACGAATCACTTTGATAAAATTTTTCAAAAATAAGTGTAAATCTAGACAAAGTTTCCCAAAATATACTCCTTCCAAGAAAACTAAAACGGAAGTCCAGACTTTTTTCAAACCTAAAGAAAACAAGACCTTTAAAAAATAAACAAAACACAGTTTTTCAAGTAACTGGACCCGGATAACTTAGAATTCCGGGAATTGTTGCTCTTATTAGAAATGTTGCAATCAAAGTCCTCGTCAGCCAGGACCGGGCGTTTGGTTTGCAAGCCTGCTCAGCACAGCACCACATGAACCCAGTTGCTACTTTTAGTGTAACAAGTCGTGCTGATGTTTCAGTGCTTGAGCAAGACCTTGAAGCTTGCTGAATAGTTCATTGTCCAGCTGTCCCTCCACAGTTCAAGACCTTTTGCTGTCATGAATCTGGGGGTGTGTTTGGGGGCGGAGAGGGGGAGGGGGTGGGTTGGCGAGTGTGTAAGTCTTTGGGTTTCTCCATCCACAGCCAGATTCTTCAACCCGAGAGCAAGACTTCCTCGAAAAACCTTCCCTCAAACATTCCCCAGGTCCATGGAGAATTCATCCCTGGCTCCCCTGGACTAATGGAGCCACCTGTAGCTCCATCATAGCACATTTCACACAATGGAGACACTGTGTCCCTGCTACAGCCTCTACTGCTTAGTGAGCCCTGGGAGGAAAAGAACAACCACGACCCAGTCCTCACTGTGTCCCCAGTGCCTGCTACCCTGTTTCCCCGAAAGTAAGACCTGCCCATAAAATAAGCCCCAACAGAATTTCTAAGCATTTGCGAAATAGAAGCCCTATCCCGAAAATAAGACGTAGTGACGGGCGTGGCTACGCAGCGCATCTGCACAACCCGTGCATTTCATCGCAGAGCGGGAAAGAAGACGAGCAGCCCTTCTCATCTGCCCCACGAGAGCTCTGTTGCTCGGTATGGGAGATTGGGGCCAATGGTTCTAAAGGAAATAGAGTCGCAAGAAATTCAGGATGGAATTCGGGGTTTAAAGAGTTATGATGTTCCAGAAGAAGATGACTTAACTATATTTGAATAAATGTAGATTGTTGTACCGTACTTAAAAAAAAAATAACACATCCCCTGAAAATAAGCCCTAGGGTGTCTTCTTGAGGAAAAATAAATATGAGACCCTGTCTTATTTTCGGGGAAACACAGTAGTTAGGAGGCAGAGAGGGAAGAGGGAAGAGGAAAGAGAAAGAGAGACTTTGAGTCCTGCTTATTGTACTTCCCCTTTGTTTTTGGTTTTCTTGTTGCTATACATTTTTGGAGTTTATGAACCTACCTTCTAAAGATTACAGAACATGACAATGATCAAATGCTAGGACAGAAGGAGCGGTCTGGCTTGGAAGCCTGCCTGCCTGCTCTCAGCCACCTCCCCACACCTCCCAGGTGCACCCTCCCAGGTGATTTTGTCCCCCTTGCAGACCTCAACAGCACTGTGACACTGTCAACATGTGGTTCAGTATTTTCAGTAGACACCTGGACCCTCAGCTCCAGCCCATACAACCAGCTACCTGCTGGCCGCGCCCTTGGGGATGCTTCACAAGTACTCCACGCTCAGCCAGGCTAACAAGGGCCCCTCACTGGTCTCCCTGCCTCCAGGCCCACCCTACAACTGCACTCGGCTCTCGCAGGGCTACAGACCTGAAACGACACGGCCTGCTTAAGACCCGTCAATGCACTACAGCCCCCAATACCATTACCTGTAGGATAAAGTCCAAGGTCTCAGAAAAGCAGGCAAGGCCTCCTGGTCATCGGCACCCAGCCTCCACCCTCTCCTCCTCCTCCTCTTCCTCCTCTAATTTCATCTCTCACTGTCCCCCTCTTCCCAGCGTATCCCCTGAATCGCAGATAGATGGGCTGCACTTCCTTACCTCCACGCCTGGCCACCTGTCGTGGCTCCTTCAGTACCCTGCATAGCCTCACCTTGTCTCGGAAGCTTTTTCTGAAATTTCTTCTAAACCCCCCACCCCGCAACTCAAGCTGAGTCACAAACCTACTTCTCTCCTGCCACAAGGCCTTGTGGTAAACAGCAAGCACTTTATGATGGAATGAAGCCCTGCCGAGCTCAGAGAAATTAGGTAACTTGCTCACTGTCACACAGACTGCAGGCGGGTGGCAGAGCTGGGACCAGGGTGCTGGGCCCCTCCTCCAATTCCCCTGTGCAGGGGGTAAAGTCTGCCTGTGGTTTCCCCTTGGGTCAGGACCTTCCAGCTTCGCATGTCCCCTCTGGCACTTCCCGTCCTGCCAGTAGACGGAGCCTGGAGTTCCTCTCCTCCCCTGCCTCTCTGCACCAGGGCCGGTGCCCTGCACGCAGGGCTGGAGGCTGGGGGGACGGGGGCGCGGCCATGACTACCAGCGGGGCCTGTACTTCCCCCACGGGAGGAGGGGTCACTTACCGGGACTTCCTGTCCCCCTCACAGAGGGTGGCTTCTCTCTCTCCAGGCTCAACTGCCACCAACTGCCCCCTGTCGGGATTCCTGGCCTCTGATTGGGCCCCATCGCTTCCCATCCCCTTGGAGACAGAACTGCTGCTCCGCACGGAGTACCCGGCCAGGCCTCCTCCTCGCAGCCTTCTTCGTCCCTCTCCCTGGGGCCTCTGGGTTCATCTCAAGGACGAGTCTCTCGCTCTGCCTGCCACCGCGCAAGGCCTCGGGTGTCCTCTGCAGGTCCTCCGTCCACTCTGTCCCAGTGTCCCTCTCTAGCTGTGAGTTCCTCGCGGGTGGAGACTGTCACTTTTCTTCTACATCTTTCTTCTTCTACATCTACATTTCTTTCTACATCTGTGAGGCGTAGGCCAGGCCACAGTAGGGACAAACAGGCGCTGAAGCCACGTCCCCTCCTCCCGAGGAGACCGTCCCAGCAGTTCCCTCTCAAGCCCCCGCCCCACACCCCCTGCCTGCAGACACTCTCCGTAGCGGGGACCTCGGCTTGAAGACCCACGGGCCAGCGCAAGTTGACATGCTGCTGAAGCTCAAAGTACAGCAGCGCAGGGCGGGTGAGCGCACTACGGGAAAGGACTGGAGAGGTGGCAGGAGAGGTGGCAGGGGCGGGTGTTTAGCAAAATCTCTCCTCCCCCATACAAGACAGGCTCAGAAAGCCAGATGGAGGAAGAGAGCCCAGGAACCTGGAAAGGGTGAGAGGGCTGAGGCCCGGTGCTGGCCCTCCGGCTGCAGAACTCGGGTCTGTGGAGAGGCAATAGGGCAGCTCCCATGGGCAGATGGGGAGCAAAGCACCAACGGCCACCCCAGAGGCCACCCGCAGCGGCTGGACCTGAGGCTTGGAACCAGCTGCAAGGCGATGGGGCTGCGGCAGGAGAACGCAGGAACCAGGTGCACGGGATGGAGAGGCAGAATCGGGAGCCTCTTATGAGACCTGAGTGACCGCACTCACATCAAGGGCAGCCCCTGAAGGGCAACCGATGGCACGAGTACTAATGGGGACCTCTTGGCACTGGGGAGCCACCGCGTGCTTTTTAATCAGGGAAGTGACAAAATGGTGTCTATATCCAGAGGAGGATGGATCTTGCAAGACGAAGAGATTAGAAACCGGCCAAAATGTCCTTGGCTCCCTGGGGAGCTTATCAAACATTCAGAAAGTGCTTTGGGCAAATTCTGAAAGCATCAGTTGAATGGCTCCATCCTGCTTTGGAGACTGCAGATATCTAAGGCAATAAACTGCCGTTTGACAAGGAGTAGTTTCTCTAATCTTGAAATGTAAAAGCATGATGAGAGCATTTTACAGCAACTTCACTCACGTTAATGTTGGAAGACCAGACATTTCGAATCCACCCAGGGTCTCTCATTATGGGAATCTGAAAAACAAAAACATTAGAAGTTAATTAATGGAAATGTTCTTGAATTAAATTTTGTAATGGCTGCACAACCTTGTAAGTATATGGAGAACCACTGAACTGTACTCTTTAACATGGTGAACTGTGTGGTATGTAAATTATGGCCGTCCCTCCAGGTATGCACAGGGAATTGGCTCCAGGACCCCCACATACACCCAAATCCACACGAGCACCAGTCTCAAAGTCGCTCGCATGGAACCTGCTTAGAGAAAAATCACCCCTCCTCACGCGTGGGTTTCGCATCTCCCACGTACCAGCTTTTCCATCTGCATTCGATTGAAAACAATATCTGAGGATAAGAGGACCCATGCAATTCAAACCTGTGCTATTCAAGGGTCAACTGTATATCTCAATTTTTTTAAAAGGAATTAACAATAAAAACCATGTGATGCCTTTTCTCTGAGCACACTCAGCGTGTGAAGTGTCAGTTACACGGGGTGCATCGCAAGTGGTAAACCCCGCCACTGCTTCGGTCCTTCTCCGCCTTCTCGTCCTTCCCAAAGCACCTGTAACCTACAGGTGAGGCTGTGGGCGGCTGGGCGGTGTGGAAAACGAGGGGATTGGGAGTCAGAAGCCAGGCATTCAAGTGCTACCTCTGCTGTTTATTCCCAGCGTGGCTGCCCGGGGCATGTTTTCTTAATGGTGAAAGGAAGGCAACAACAGCCCCTACCCTGCAAAGCTGAGGGCGCTGCTTTGGGCCTCAGCTGAGTCTACTCGGGTGAAAGAGCAGGGCCTGATTCCAGTGGGAGCTGTCAGGACTATGGGTGCGGCAGTCCGCGAGCAAGCAGGGCCCATGCAGCCCGCCTGTCCTGCAGGCACCCGGGTTGGAGCTGCCACCATGCGGGTCAGGCCTGGCCTTTCTACGGGATGTGTTGGTTGTCCTAGGCCTAAAATTAAACTTAAATTATACTCAAAAACATATGTGCTTTGAGTTCAACTACAGCAGCCCAGAATAAACAGCCCCCTTCGTCCTCCGTCCCGTCACTCCCTGGCCCTACACCCCCATCACACTCATCTGCCCCAGCTAGCTTTTCCAGCCCACATTTGTTGATTGACTGGTAGTTAATGGTGTCGTGCTGTTTTACATCACGATGTACTGAGTAGCTCTCGGGGGCCATGAACTGTGCTAGGGACCGGGGACAGAGACACAAAGGAGACCTGAACTTGTCTGCGAGACACTCACAATCTAGTGGAGGCGGGAAGACAACTAACGAAGTTTGCTATGGCCGTGTCCACCATCGAGATATGCCCCTCGAGGAGTGCAAAAGGCTTATTGAAAAGAGAAAAAAAACAACCTATGCCCAGGGTCGGGTGGGAGCAGAGGAGGAGGACAACCGTCTACCTGCAGGGAAGGTTCTGTGCCGTCCGCAGGAGTGGACGTGCAAGCTGCTTCTGCAGCATGAGTAGGGGCCCTGGGAGGGAAGAGCGCCTCTCGACTGCAGAACAGTCGCAGCACGTGCAGTGGGCAGGAAGGGCACTGGGAGGGGACCGTGGGACAGGAGGCATGCTACTACAACCTCCGGCCCGCCGGAGGTCGAACTCAGGCCTGGTGCTCTGAGCCAGTCGGTTTCGTTTTTCAAAGCATGCCCTCCTCGGTCAGACTGCATCTCCTGCAGGAGCCCATTGTGTAGCTAGACGGGAGGGGAATCCAAGGGTCAGAGCAGGAAGGGCCTGGAGTGTCGGCTGCAGAAACCCTGAGGCTTCGCAGAGCAGTTTGAGAGCAATGGCTGTGCGGTTCAAAGGGGAGCCCGAGGCGTGGAGAGAGCAGGTGTGTGTCCCACGGGATCAGGTCACCTCTGTGTGCAGGGTGCACGGGAGGCAGGGAAGCCAATCGGAAGGTTATTCCAGCAAAGGATGGCCAGGGCATGGGCCAAGGTGGTGACAGGGGACAAGGAGGAAGGGCAGCTCTGAACACATCTGGATGGGAAGAGTCACCCGGATGTCATATGTGACTTGGAGTGGGGGTGACAAACAGGTTTCAGGGACGATTGAAATTTCTGGCCTGGGTGACTAGGTAGATGATGGTATTAACTAAATCAGGAAAACAGGAGGGATAAACTTGGGGAGGGATATTCTAGGCTCCTGGGACCATATCTGAAATAAAAAGGATCGTTTTCCTATAAGACAGATCCAGGGAAAGAAGGCAGACGGGAGTTACGGGATTCTACCCAGTCTGGATCCTGGCTGGGAAATGGGGACAAGGCAATTGATTTCTTCATCTCTAACTTGCTTAACGTGGCCATTACATCCTGGTTCCAACCGAGCAATGCACTTGACACACTTCTTGGAATCCGGTGGCTACGTCCATTTAGGCTCCTGCAGAAGATTTCATCACGCTGCGAAGAGTCATGCAACTTGGGCACAGATGTTCCAGACCATTGAACTCAGATTTTTCAGGGGCCACAAACACAGCCCCACAGGCACCAGCGTTCTTTGTGCATAATAGTTGGATTGGTTTCACACTCACAAGGCAGGCTGGGAAGGTTGCCAGCAGCTTAAATTCACACGCTTGGATTTGGTCCCGATTCCAAATGAAGTTTTTAAATCAAGTATGAAATGTATCCTTTTATTGCCAGAGGAGCGACGTCTCTGACCCCAAAGAGTTTGGTTCGAATTCAGAGATTGAACAGAAACACAAGGACACAAAAAATGGTGACCCAGTATATTTTGACAATAATTTCTTTCACTGCTAAGAAGAAAATAGTTTCATTCTGCCCCACAACTATTTGTCCGTTATTCAAAATTCTAGCATAAAATGTGATGCTCAGCCTTTGGGCTCTGGGCACCAAGCGGTTAGCGGTCATGATAGAAGCCGCAAACGAACTTGGGTTTGGACCCCAGTTCTCCTGCTAAGAGCTGCGTGGCCTTTGGCAAGGAATTTGACCTTTCTCAGCCTCGACCTTCTCATTTGTAAGAAAGGCTAACAGTAAAATAGTTACCTTATAGAACTGACGTGAGAATCAAGAGATAACGTGGTGTGAGACAGGAATGCCCCAGAAAGAGGTAGCTGCCCCTCCTGGATCATGCCCATGAAGCGGGAGGCTCGAGGTCAGGAGGGTGAGCGTCTTCCGGTTTGCTCTTCCCTTATTCATGCCATGAGCGGTTCCATTGCTCGGGGCCTTCTTTCGTCATTGGCCATCAGAGCCGCACTCCTGTCTTCCTGTGAGTGAGTAGACGCTCAAACACAGCTTGTGTTGGCCTCATTCTCGGCTCTGTTTTCTGTCTTCTTTTTGTTATATTTCTCGCTTAATTTAAATCTATGTAACTGTTATGAATTGAGTGTTTGTGTTCCCCAAAATTCACATATTAAAGCCCCGAGGCAATGGTATTTGGGGGTAGGGCCTTCGGGAGGTGATGAGGTGATGAGATGGAGCCCTCATAAATCAGATTAGTGCCCTTATAGGAAGACATATGAGAAAAATAATCTCCCCCTCCCTGCCACGTGAGGACACGGCAAGAAGGCGGCTCTCCACAAACCCTGGGAAGAGAGCCCTCACCAGAACCTGACCACACTGGTACCTGCCTGGACTTCCAGCCTCCAGATCTATGAGAAATAAATTTATTTAAGACAGATAGTCTATGGTATTTTTGTTATACTAGCCCAAGTCGACTGAGACGGAAATCCTGTTGTGTTTTTAACCATTTTTTCCCCATGGATACATATAGCAGAAGACAGATGACGGATGGATGGATGGATGGATGGATGGATGGATGGATGGATGATAAATAGAAAAATGGAAAGGTGCTTAGAGAATGAGCAGAGTGGATGTAGACAGAGGAGCAGGGAGAAGATGGATACTTCGCGCTGTGATATTTGCTTGTTCCCTTGACTATGCCAACGGTGACGGCGCAAAGAGCACTTGAAATAGAACCACCAAGACTGGGCCTCGCCAGGACCTCTGCCACTTAGGAGAGGAACGGTCCTGTTCCATCCTCTCACCCTCTCTGAGCTTCAGTGTTTTCTAAAGGACTCGTGCGACGCTTCCTGCCTCCTGTCCCGTGTGCTGTGAGAGTCACGTGACAGACGTGCAGGAAGGCGACCTGCTCCTGGCAGACACTCAGTGAGGCTGAAAGTGAATCTCAGTTGCAGCCTCCTGAAGATGGAGCCCCAGGTCTTAGTGTCCCACGTCCCTCAGGGGCCTTGCCCGCTGCTATGGTTCTTGAGGCGATTTGCTGGAGGTCACTATCCAGGGCCCGACTCCAAATTCACGTTCGGGTCTGTGGGACTCCAAAGCTCTTGCTGCCGTCTGACTGATGGTGACACATTTGAACACTAGAAATCCCCCAGACACAGAAGAGAAGAAAGAGAGACTCAGAGAGAAGTGCTCCCAGATGATCAGGCCCAGGGTCCACGGTGATAGCCCAGGCTGCTCCCAATTTCCAACTGGGGCATCTAAAGTTCATGTGCAAATTCTCCTAAATGTGGGGTAACATTTTCTCATAGGAAGAGTACTCTATACTAAGACAGCTTTTCCGGGGGAGGAAAGGCAGAGGAAACCATACAGAGCTGAACAAAGAGCAACGTCGCACAACTGGGGAACTAGTGGCACTGTGGCTCGTTTGCACAGCCTGCTTTTCTGGGGACGGTCACCCACAGTCTAATCGAGGACCCAGGAACACGTGGGAATTGTGTGGAAAGGAAGCGAGGAAGCGCCGGTCTGGGGACCGTTACCAACTTGCCGCAGGGCCTTGCCAAGCTACTGCCCTTCTGCCAAAGGAAGGAGTTACAGGGGATGCCTAGGGGCTTTGCTCTCCAGAATCCTGTAATTCTAAGTGCATTCGCCCTCTGACGTCACGATCGCAGCCACCAGATGCCCGTTCTCCACAGCCCAGTCCCCTCCGTCAGCAGGACCTGAGATTCGGGAAGAGGATTAGGAAGGGTTTGCTCTGGTTGGGGAAGAGACGGGTGAAGGGGATGACACTGGGTGTCAGGATTCTGTCTGGGACAGTTTCAGCAAATC